CTGAATAATCCACTCTTAATCATGATAAAAATGATTAAGAACCTCCCGCTGTGGCTGATCAATCATGTTTAAAATAATTAAAACTCTCCCACTGTGATTTTCAGAGCACTCTTTCATTGAGATAAGATTCAATAACTTTATCTGATTTTTGGTTGGTTTCAAATGTCGGGATCAATTGCTCCCTTAAGTTGCACGCTCCAACAATGTAGTGGAATATGATTGGACTCAAGTTCACCCAAAAAGCTAGGGGTGGATATGAGGTTATCATAACTGAATATGAAGTCAATAACCAAGGCTTGATTCTGTATCAAGAACAGCAACATTTCCCACAAACAAGAAGTTCCTGAAAAAGTACTATCCCTAGTACGTTCTGGATAATGGGAACTTTCTGAAGAATGCTATGTATGGTATTCTTAAGGATAACCCGAAACCAATTAATTATTCAAGGAGAAAACCAACCATCTGAATAATCCACTCTTAATCATGATAAAAATGATTAAGAACCTCCCGCTGTGGCTGATCAATCATGTTCAAAATAATTAAAACTCTCCCAGTGTGATTTTCAGAGCACTCTTTCATTGAGATAAGATTCAATGACTTTATCTGATTCTTGGTTGATTTTCAGAGCACTCATATGTTTCATACTCTATTCTGTTTGAATTTATATTGCATAGAATATGCAATTTTGTGAAAATATTGTTTTATTGGTTTTTGGACTTAACAATAATCATATACATCTTTTACTAAGTCTATATAATCATTTTTTAATATTTTAAAACATGGTTAAGCTAAAATATCAAAGCTCATATGTTTACATTTTCATGTTTTGGACTATTTTGTAAAATAATGATATTTCTCATTTGGGAGGTTCTTTCTAAAAACCAGTTTTTGTAGCATGTGTATTATCATGTCTACAATCATTTTCTAAATTTTTACATTTTTTCTGAATTTATTTGATATTTTTAGGGTTTTAAAATCAGAAAACTGCTAGTTTTTATATTGAGTTTAGATTTGATAAATCTTATTGTTACACACACCCACATTGAGCTTATTGTATTTTTATACATAGCATAATTAGGTTGGTGAGTGTTGTAACAATTGAGAGTGAGCTACATTGAGTTCTCATCTATTGTAAAGAACAAATTTATTGTTACATTGTTAGTGTTATAAAGTTTTCGGTGAGCTAGAAAACCGAGTGTGAGAAGTGAACGTTGATCGGTGAGCATTGAAAACCGACATTGTGAGTGTTTGTGAACGTTGATCGGTGAGCGTTAAAAACCGATATTGTGAGATGTAAACGTTATTCGGGTAAGCATAAAAAAACCCGGTTGTGATAGTGGATTTCTCCCCGGGAGTGAGGAGCGGAGACGTAGGACGGAAGATCCGAACTCCGTGATCATATCATGTGTTTGAGTTTACTTTGGCGCACTTCTTTTATGTTTATATTTCTTATCGTCATTGTCCATTGCTTATTATTTATATCATCCACTATCTTGTTTATTTTATTTACCCTTGTGTATATCACTTATCCTAGCTCACATATCTTGTTGTATTTTATAATTGCTAGGATAACTTGTTAATTAGTTTTAAATAACATAAAATCGGATTTCATTAGCATAAGTCCCTAATCACCCCTCTCTGGGGTCTAACACATTGGACATGTGCTTAAGAGGTTTGGGATGAGTGATGCTAAGGCTGTTAGTATACCTTTGGCTAGTCATTTCAGGTTGACTAGGGAGCAGTGTCCAGTGACTGATGAGGAGAAAGACTATATGGTGAAGGTTCCATATGCTTCAGCCATTGGGAGTCTTATGTATGTCATGGTGTGTACGAGGCCTGACATTACCCATACAGTGGGAGCTGTGAGCAGATTCATGTCAGATCCAGGAGAATAACACTGGGAAGCAGTAAAGTGGATTCTAAGGTACCTACGGTGGACAATAGAGAATTTTATATGTTTCAAGAGAGACAAGTTGGGTCTGCAGGGATTTGTTGATACAGATTTTGCTGGTGGGAGAGATTAGAGGAGGAGCACTACGGGGTATGTATTTACATTGGGTACGCCTGCCATCAGTTGGGTCTCTCAGTTGCAAAAGATCGTTGTTTTATCGACTACAGAGGCAGAATATGTTGCTGTGACAGAGGTAAGCAAGGAGATGATATGGTTGTAGAGTTTCTTGGAGGAGTTGGGACAGAAAAATAAGAAGTGTGTCTTGCACTGTGATAGCCATAGCTCTATTCATTTGGCAAAGAACCCACCTTTTCATGCCAGGACTAAGAACATACAAGTTCGTTATCACTTCATAAGGTCAGATTTGGATGATGACGTGTTGGAGCTTGTGAAGATCCAAGGAAGCAAGAACCCGAATGACATGCTTACGAAGACGGTCACTATGGAGAAACTAAAGTTGTGTTCGACTTCAGCTGGTCTCATTACTTGATAATATAGGAGGCCGTCGTCACAAGGAATGATAATAAAGACTGAAGATGTTGAAGCTTTTCAGTAGCATACTATGGGAAAATTAGTCTCCAAGTGGGAGATTGTTAGGTTATGTGGAGCCTAATTTTCAGACCCGGCCCAATTCGCTTAAGTGATCGAATCGTCAGAACCCCAACTTCTTTTTTATACATGCTAAAATTTCTAGATTATCGAGGATTCATATCCATAATGTTTCCAACCATGCATATGCCCCAACGAGTTCAAGTTATCTAAAATCTTAATCATGGAGAATGCTTACAATTGGTTGCATGCTTATGCTATTGGTTTATTGCAGTGGATCTCACGATTAAAAATTCATTCTAATATAATTTAGATAAATAATATCATTCATCGAGTTCACTGACTGAGAAGATTAGATTTGCGAGTTGTAGAGATTTTGTACAACTAAGAATATAGAGGATCTTTGCCCCACTAGAACCTTAAGTCTAATGAGCCTAGATCCTTTGCAATCTTGATTATAGAGAATGACAATTGGTTAAGTGGACTAATACCATTGGTTTATTTGAATGGATCCTATAATTAAAAGTTTTTATATAATTTAGATAAACAATAAGGAGCCCACTGAATTGAGAAGATATTATTAATGAATTACATAATTTTCTTTATAATTAAAGAAGCATAGGACCTCCAAGCCAGCTTAAATGTCTAATGAACATACAATTCACCTTCTTGTTTGGCGAGCCATATGAAGAGTTTTACCAAATTATCTGTTGCGGACTGGAGCTTTTTTGGGGCCCACAGCCCAGTCGTCCTTGTCGCTAGCTATTGACCTGGTCTTTCAAAATCGTTTAATCAAAAACGTTAGCCTCTGGTGTGTGTATATATGTACGTGTGCTTCTGTCTAGTTTCTCATCGCAAACCAATACCTACACAAAGTACAAGGGGTTACTCATCTCATCAGAAGGCGAGCGACATGGCGGCAAACGTCTTCGGCAACCCCATCACCGATGAGACTCTGAAAGCAATGCCTGAATACAACAACAAACCAATAACCCGCTGCGATCGTGCACACGAGGCTCTCAATATGATACACGCGGAGAGCAAGGACGTGAACGCCCTCCGATATGTGGAGAATCTGAAGGAGCAGTACGGCGACGGAGTCTCGACGCTCTGCGTGGTCTACAATGCTAGTGGCGATCCTATCACTTTCCAAGATAGCCATGATTGGCACGGCCACCTCTGGAAAGCGCCATACCCGCAATCTCTTTTGAACGGTCAGTGGGGTGCTTTCCTGCACGTCCATCCCTCTGGGGCGATGGCAGGATCGTCGGCCGCTGTCATCTATCGCGGTAAGAATGATGCAGGGAAGGACCATGATTTCATGTTCTCATGGATGAACCCTTGGTGGTCGGGCAGTTGCACGGTATGTGTTTAAGTTATGTTTTTAAAAAATGAAACAATAAAGAAAGAAGAGGAAAACAAAAATAAAATGCTCTGGCTGATTAATTTTAATTCC